TTAATTTATTAGTATTTAATATATAATTATTTTCTATTATATATTTACCAATTGATATGTAAATTGATTGATTAGAAATAGTTTCCAACAATAGAAACCAATTTTCGGTTTAGCCATCAATTCTATCAATGTTAACAACTATTAATAGTTGTGAAAATAAAATAATAATTAATAAAATAATAATAAACATTAAAATGTTATCTTGATAATTAATATTAAGTTTAAATTATGATATATTAAATTTAATTACTTTAAGTTTTGCATGCAATGTATGAATTGATTTTATTTGAAATAATTTATTGCTATTGTAATTATTAATTAATTTATATGTATGCTTAGCTTCCGTATTAACATTACTGGCTAATAGTATTATTGATGTAATACATATAAAACATACAATTACTCCACAAGTAAATATTATAGTAATTAAACTATTGTTTTTTAATTGTATAATAGTTAATACTATACATGATATTAATATTGAATAAAATAGCCAATAGTATAGTAAAGTTGGTGACCATAAATTGTTAAGCGTATGATTTTTAATGTAAAATGTATTCAATGTTTTATGAAAATGTTTCATAAATAATATATTCTGTTTAATTAATATTATTTTTAAATTAATTAGTTTTTGAATTCTAAAATTGATTTTTTTCAAATGAAATTTTTGATACAAACATATTGTCGAAAAATATAACATATGATAAGTTAACATTTGATGAGAGATAGGAATGACAAATAAATAAAATAGTGACCAAATTATGCCAAATGTTATCAATTGATACCATGAATAGTATAATGACATTGCTGTAAATGAATATATTAATGCACATAATAAATATAACAGTTTTAATATTTTGCTAAATAATTTAAAATATCCAGTACAATTATAATCATTAATATTTGGTATAGCATTGATATTGTGAAAATTCACGTTATTTACCTATCAGAGGAAGTCGAGTTAGGACATTCACTCTAGTTTTATATAAGAATTATAGCGAGAAGGCTATGTAACGAGTAGGTTACAGAGCGAGAAGGCTATTTAATTCAAAGGTTATTAATCCATAGGTTATATCATATATATAGGGTTAGTTTACATGGACTTTAAGTAGGAGTAGATTTATTTTAGTGGGATTGTATAAGTTATTAGCAAATTATACTATTGGCTAATTTAATATGTTAAACCACGCATGTGTTTAGATGTTTCTCTTGATCTGAGTTGAGTTGAATTTTGGAGAGAGAGAAGAGTTGTGATCTGGCCTTCGAAGTGGAGAGACGTATATTTACCTGTATCCCTCATAAAATTAGTATAATAAATAAAGGTAAAGGTTTTAATTGAACTTTGAGGTGTAAGTTATTGAAGGGACCGGGCCCTGCGCCCGCGTCCCTTCCGAGGTAAGCGGGCAGAGATATTTGGGAGTAAGTATAATTAAAGGTTGATATAAAAGTATAGCGTTGGTGTAATCAACGGCGGAACAGTGGATCTAATCGTTGGAGTTCGTCTTGGAAATCTTGTCACATAATAGTCAAAGGTAAAGATAATAAAGTTGTGTCATGTATTGTGGTGATCTGAGCAACGAATAGAGATACTGTTGAGGGTATCGTCACGTGAGGTGTCGATCCGTGTAGTGACCGTGTAACCTTACCGTTGGGGATGGTGGTCAAAGGGGAGAAACGTGTCGAAAGTAACATGAAAACAGTCCTACAAATGATTACCGCACGAAAGTTGCTACAATATTATATAATAATTTTAATTGTTTTATATGAATAGTTTTAAATCTATTATTATTATCAAATTTTATTAAATATGCGCACATTATTGAAATAGTTAAAACTGTTTTACCATAATCAGGCCATTTACCTAAATAACTATTATATTTATAATAATTGTCATCATTTAAATAATGGGCTAAAAATGTCTTAAATAATTCAACAAAACAACATATATCAAATATCATTGTATTTAAAGTTGATATACATTTATAGTTTGTATTATATTTAGGAAATCCCAATCGATAGCATTTTTCGCCCAATAAATACAATAAGATATCATATTTTATTAAATACATTTTAAAAAACTAAATTTGTATAATTTTTGTTATTATTTAAGTTTTGTTACTAATTTTTTAATTAATTATATTTTTTATATATAAATATTATTAGAAACAATAGTTTTAATTGACTACTTGTAATATAATGTAATTAAATTATTATACAATAGATTATGATAATAGTATCAAAACTTCAATTTTTACAACTACAGGTACTACTAAATTTGATATAATTTATTTTATTAAAATTAAATTTGTTAAACATTATTACACCATATAATATACCAAAATTGTAATTTTTTATGAAATACTTAAACAATTATTAAATGCTTTAATTTATTACTCTATTTTATACTAGTAAAATAATATAAATGTATATTATAATTTTTATAAAATTAATATATTAATAAATAATTAACTTAATGATAAATTAATGGCTTTTTTGTTGCTATTTTATTTAGTCATATATTAGTAACGCTAATTTTTTGCAATAAAAAGTTAATGTTGTTTTATGTCTAATTTAGAAATGACTAAAAAATGGCAACAACAAAAATAATATAAAATAAATTAAATTATTAAATAATTAATTAAGTAAAAATTGTATTAATACAATTATCTTTGAAACTTATCGTAATAAACTCAAATTTAGTCATATATGGTATAAAATAACTTTGTTTACACTATTATATTTGTTAACTTTTATTTCAAAAGTATTAATTCAATTTCCACTTTTCTATAATTTTCCTTATATTAAAAATTTAATTATTTTATTAAACATCAATATAATTATTTAAATGTCCTAAATTTATTAATTTTGTTGTTAACAAACAGGATAATTATTTACTATAAGGGGTATAAGGGGTTTAGAAATTTATTTCATTTTTAAATAATAATTTTTGATAAGTTATTAACATTGATAGAAATGATGGCAAAAAACAAAAATTGGTTTCTAATGTTAAAAATTATCTTTAATTACTCAAATTACATATCAATTGGTAAATATATACTAGAAATGAATCAAATTTAAATAATTATTTATTTTAATTGACAATTTCATTATATAACTATAAAAACAATTTAAAAAATAATCACAAAATTATTATTATTATTATTATTGCTTAAGATTATTTATATTATAAAATCCAATTTTGTAAAAATGAATATAAAATCTTATTAATTAAGTTTTTATATTTTTTTTATATGTTTATACAATATATTTGATATAAGTTATAATAATTTTTGATTTGTAATTAGTATTTATAATTTTTAAAATAGACAATATATTTAATTAAAGTAAATGGATTATTAATATAAATTTTATTTATATATGTTTTATTATAGAAAATTTATTGTTAAAGTTGTAAATAATATGAAATTTAATTATAATAGTTTATTAATTTATCAAATCAAAACATTATTATTTATAACATTGATTAATATAGAAATATACAGTAAATAAAATAAAACTAAACATGCATTAAATATTGTATTTTTTATAATTATTTTATATTACATTAAATAATTATAAAAAAGTAATATAAATTAATATTATATATATATTTAAAAAAAATAATAATTTTTAGTTATAGAATTTGATTATTAAGTTAATACCATAATTTGATGATTCAAAATAATCCCAAATTTTTCTATACTGTATTATCCATATTTATTATAAAACAGTAGCCTATAAAAAATAAATTAATTAAATTTAAAAAAAAAATATTTTCTTATAAAATAATAATAATAATAAATTATACCCCAAATGCATTAAGTTTTTGTGGTAATGATGTCGTATAATATTGCCATTGATTTGTTTGATAATCGTATACTTCGACTGTATCTTCGCGACCATCTTTTTTTATTTATATTAATTCATGTAATTAAATATTTATAATAATAATAATTCAAAAATATTAATTATTTTTAACTCCTAAGAGTTTAAAAATAATACATTAGACTTATGCTAAGTGTATGCATTGTTGGCCAGCGGTAAATCACGCGCGTTCATCAACCAATCAAAATAAAGAACGCATTTATATTGTTGTTTATATTTTATACAGGGTGTAGCAAATTATAAAATTACTTTTTAATAGTTTTAATTATAAACATATAGTAAGATATAATATTTAATTAACTTGAAATAATAATTGTTAATAATAATTAAATTATAAATATATGACAAAAACTACGAAATATTAGTATTCCTATATATATAAAAATTAATTAGATTAATATAATAAAATAAAATATTATACAATTTTATAATAATTTTTATATTTAATTAACAATATTTAATTAGTAATTACTAATAAATTATTATTTTTTTAATATTATAATTACTAATACTATTTAATAATAATTTGCAAAAGTTAACAGTGAACTATTATTAAAACACATATATATAAATGAAAATATTTTTAAAAGTATCAAATCAGAAAAAATTATACAAATTAAAAATTTGATAACTAAATTAATTACAATTAAAATATTAATCAATATTAATTAATTAAAGTGAATTATAATTATAAATTAAACATTTATACAGGAATGGTAAAAAATTGGTAACATATATTACAGGTTATTAAAATTATCAAATTACATAAATACTTTTAATGAATAACTTTTAATCCAATGTGTTGATGAAAACATGACAACTCACTTGTCAAGGTTTTAGCACATAATGGAGTAGTACAGTTTTCGCACATAAATGATGTTTGTTTTCTTGGCTTATTATTTTTGAAACACATATAACAWTTTTTCACATTAGATTTAGCATTAGAAATAATAGGTACAAATTTAGAATTAATACATATATTATTAATCACAACACTTTCTGTTAAATTATTTATATTAATTAAACGTAATGCAGTTGTTTTTTTGAAAATTTCGGATGTAATACAGTTGTGTGACTTAGATTTATAAATTATATAGCTGTTATTTAATGAGACGTTAACTAATAAATGCCATACAACTTGTGGCCAAAAGCAAACTCGATGACTGTAGCGGTGATAACTTAACTTTTGATCATATAAATCAACACCAAACATGTATTTATTGTATTGTCGGATTATATTAGGCATTAAAATGACTGATTTGTTTTGGGAAAATGTACGCTCTTTTTCAGATTCACCTTTAGGTATATGTGTGGAAATAGCGGTTACTAATTTGTTGTCGTACCATTGAACAATTGTTGTTTTGCCACTTCTCATATACCTAGGGCCTCGATTTTTCTTACTTAGCATTTCCGATTTTATAAATGGTTTTTTAAATTGTATGGGAAGACCATGTCTATTCAATCTAACAGTGCCAGTTAATCCAATTCCCCTTTCAATCAGAGAGTTAGCTAATGATATTGAAGTATAAAAATTGTCAGTATAAACTTCATGACCTGACATTTCGTCAATAGGCTGTAATAACTTCAGTACAATCTTTTCAGTAAAGTTAGGGAGACCTTTATCTGTTGATGAATGGCAGTGCCAATTGTACATGTATCCTGTTTCAGATTCGCAGCAAACATAAAACTTAATGCCTTGTTTATGAGCTTTGTTTGGCATATGCTGTTTTTCACTAAATCGTCCATCAAATCCTACAAGGCTTTCATCAACAGTTAACTGTTTATTTGGTTGATAAAGCTCTTGACTAACTTTAGGTAAATGATTCAATAATACTCTTACTCTATATAATGGGTCGTTATTACATTCATTTGTTTCATTTGTTTGAGAGTGGAAATGCAGGCATCTTTTAATAGTTAGATAGCGTGTTAATGTCATAGAGTTCTTTATTAATTCAGTGCAATATAATGAATCAGAAGACCAATGCTTGCGTTCATTCGGTATTTGTTTAAGTCCCATTAATATTTGTATTCCAATGAATACCTTAACTTCAGATATTGTAATATTAATAAAGTTTTGCTTATGTTTTAAACCATACTCATTTGAGTACATTAAAATTTCATCAAGTAAATTATCATTCAAGAATTTATCAAAAATAATTGTTGGGTCGTTAGGAATGTCAGTGAGTGCACCACAAACTTTATCAAAGTCTGGAAGCCATTCAATTGTTGTATCACTATTATCAATCATCCAGTTTTGAGAAAAATCGCAATTGTTATTATCACTAAGATTATCGTTATTATCATCACTATCGCTATCATTATTATTGTCGCTAGCATTTTTATTATTAAATACAAGAGAATAAATCTCGTCCTCATCACTTTCATTATCCATCTATTATAGAAATAAAGAAATAAAAAAACTATAATTATTAATATTTATAATTAAAAAATCAAGGCTAAAAACTTGTGGTTAATACTGTAGAAACATTTTTTTACATAAATATATATATTAAAATGTTTATCAAAAATTTAATATTGTTTTTTAAATATATATTGTTTAATACTATTTAAGCTATAATTTATAAATAAATATTTATAAGAGTATTAAACAAACTAAGTATTTTATAAATTTATAAATTATTAGTCAATACACTTCTATATTAACTGTAACTTTAATTTAATTATAATAAAATTAATTAATTTTTTATATTATTGAATAAATTTTATTTTTTCATTTAATATTTGCTTTTCTACATATTCACAAAAATATTTATGAAACTTAAATGCAGCTAATTTATAAACTAAATTTTTATAATCATTAATATTAACACAAATATTAATATAAATAATAGGAAAAGATGGTACCAGTAATTGCCATTTTTCATATGTATAGTATTTTTTAGGGTTATTTTTATTATACTTTTTATATGTCTTAATATAGTTAAATTTATGCTTACGTAATGAAAAACATTTTGTAAAAAAATCTAATGCCTTTTTAGCATTTTTATTTATAGTAATGGCAAATCTTTCTGGGGTATATTTAGATAATCTTTTATATTTATTATTAATTAATATGAGAGCAGTAGGCATTTTAATTTAATTAATATAATAATTTAATTTTTTTTAAATATATTGTTTTAGATTTTTAGTTATATTTTTTATTTACTAAACAAACTCCATTAGTGGCATAAAAGCCCAGGAATTTTTTTCAAATATTTGTATTTTATTAATTTAAATTATATATTTATATAAAATATGTACAGTATTTTGTTGTTGTTGTCCACTTCACCGACTCATCAATGGTTCCGTCAAATGATTGCCGTGTTTGTTGTTGTCACTGATTGTCTTCAATGTTAAGATAACTCATCAATAGTACGGCCGAATCGCTGTTGTTGTTGTTGTTGACACTGATTGTCTTAAATGTTAAGATAACTCATCAATAGTACGGCCGAATCGCTGTTGTTGTTGTTGTTGACACTGATTGTCTTAAATGTTAAGATAACTCATCAATAGTACGGCCGAATCGCTGTTGTTGTTGTTGTTGACACTGATTGTCTTAAATGTTAAGATCTCATCAATAGTACGGCCGAATCGCTGTTGTTGTTGTTGTGGTCACTGATTGTCTTCAATGTTAAGATAACTCATCAATAGTCGGCCGAATCGCTGTTGTTGTTGTTGTGGTCACTGATTGTCTTCAATGTTAAGATAACTCATCAATAGTCGGCCGAATCGCTGTTGTTGTTGTTGTGGTCACTGATTGTCTTCAATGTTAAGATAACTCATCAATAGTCGGCCGAATCGCTGTTGTTGTTGTTGTGGTCACTGATTGTCTTCAATGTTAAGATAACTCATCAATAGTCGGCCGAATCGCTGTTGTTGTTGTTGTGGTCACTGATTGTCTTCAATGTTAAGATAACTCATCAATAGATCGGTTAAATCACTGTTGTTGTTGTTGTCACCGACTATTTGGTCACCAATTGATACAATTTTATTCAATTTTCAGATATTTCAAATAAAATATGTAAAACATGTGCTATTTTTACATTATGTAACACTCTGTACATTAATAAATACGTTTAAGTATTTAATCAATTCTGATTGGTTAATTTTATTTTAATTGTGGTCACATGATTCAGTGAATTTTTCACTGATATGCACCAAAGGGTGTACGAGTTTTAGTGAAAAATTCACTAATTGTTTCTCACGAGTTAAGAAATATTAATTAAATTAATTAATAAATAATAAGTAATTATTTAATATTATTAATATTATTAATATTATTAATATATTAATATATTATTAATATATAATTGATTACCATTTGAATAGCCACCCAAAGCATATAGTTTGCTATCGATAGCAACTAATTTGAATTCACTTCGTGTTTTAATCATTGATCCTAAATATAAATATATATAATTAAAATCAAAATATATAAATATTTATTATATTAATAATTTATTTAATTAGTTGATTAATTATTTAAATTTAATTAATTAATAATAATAACCAATTTGTGTCCATTGATCAGTTGTCGGATCATATGTTTCGCATGAATTTAATAATGTATTCAATATATTATATTGACCGCCGCATACATATAGTTTACCCATAAATGACACTGAACCAAATCTATATCTTATATTATCCATTTATTATACAAATAATATTATTTAGTTAAAACAAAAATTTAATTACATTAAAAAAATAACATAATAATATAATACCTTGGTGATTGCATAGCTGACATCAGTAGCCATTGTTTTGTATTTGTATCGTATTTTTCCATTGAATTTAAATAATAATAATTATTATTATACTTATTATAGCCGCCAATAGCATAGATATGTCCTTCAAGTGCTACCAATGCTAAACCAAACCGTTCGGTAATCATAGGTGTTGTCAAATACCATTCATCCGTATCGTCGGGTCTATAATATTCACATGAAGTATAGGCTATTCATTGACAACAATAACAAATATCATTAATAATAAATTCAAATTAAATAAAAAAAAATATTAAATTTTAATAAAATTAAAAATAATAAAAAACAAACAAAATATATATACCATCAAATCCGCCGCAAACATAAATTGTATTATTAATTACGGCAGCACCAAACTCTCTAATTAATTAAAAATAAATAAATAAATAATGAAATAAAATTATTTATCAATTATAATATATCTAAAAATATTAATCAAGTATTATAAATACTGATTATTTATAATAATAAAAAATATCTGAAATATATTTATATAATTAATTACTTTCGTAATGTTTTCAATGATGCACTTGATATCCATTGATTTGTTTGTTTATCATAACTTTCGACACTATTTGTTATATTTGTACTCTAATTTTTTTTATTAGAAACAATTTTTTTTAATTTATTATTTTGATTTAATTAATTATAATTATTTTTATTTACTGACATCAAAGCCGCCCATTGCATACAAATTCGTATCCAATGAAACCAATTCATAATAACCGCGTTTTATAGTCATTTCATGTATTGGTTTCCAAACGTTTGTACGGATATTATAATAATAACATTGCGATAGATATGATGTTATAGTAAGTCCACCGCATATATAAATAAAACTATTGTCCAATAAATTAATTGTTATCTAGTTTTTAAAAGAAAATATAAATAATTAATAATATTAATAATTATTTTTTACAAATATAAATAAAACAAATAATACATTATTATTATTTAATGATTGAACATTAGTATAGAAATTAATTGTAAATAAACAAAATAACAATTTTTTAATAAATAAATTCATTTTTATATTATTATATTAACAAAAAAAAATTTTTCATTACAAAAATTTAACAAATAATAATTTACTACTTTTATTATTATATTATATTAGAAAACATTTTTTTAAAGTAAAAATTTAATCGACTATGTTAAAAACAAACATAAAAAATTGAAATATAAGTGATAATTATTCAAGTGTTAATTGATTATATAAATACTGTATATTTTTTGAAATACAATTATCATATCTATTTGATTGGACTGTTGCCATACGTAAGCCGTATAGTTGACATACATTGGATGTGAATATATCTATGGTTTGCTATTAATTTCTAACAACTTTATTAAAAGATACCGTTACCTGTGCTCTGTGTATCTACAGGTGCTCATATATTTACTATGTTGTTATTGCAAAGTTTACTGATAGTAACCGGTGCTTAACCTACACACACACACACACACACACACACACACACACACACACACACACACACACACACACACACACACACACACACACACACACACACACACACACCAGATATCAAAACTATTGTATCAATTATATACTGTAGAAACCAGGGATATGTTAGTATAGTATCAGTTAATTTTTATTGTATCTTTATTTTTACAAATTATGTTAAATCACTTTTAGTTTTTAGAAATATTACACCTCCATGAGCTAGAATCCCTGTACTTAGTAATACTCTAATTTAACTCATGGTACCATAATGTCCTTGTTTAAAATCCATGTATATCATAAAATTTGAACTTAATCATTTTTGAAATTAATGACTAAAAACATATTTAATGGATTATGAAAATGATTTTATAACAAATAGATTATAAAATATGTTTATTAAATATTATAGAAATTAATGCAAAAAAAACAATATTACAAAATATTATAATAAAATTATTATAAAGTTTTATATAATTTACAAATAATTTAACATAAAATAATAAGTTATTTATAGACATAATATCCAGTATATCCTCTTTTTTAATACATATATTTGTCATCACTTTTTCTTAATTAACTGATTTTTAATATTATTTTGGATGTCATTGTATTTAATTGCTATCCACTTGTGTTGTGTCAGTGACAGCATATCGGGTCTGCGTTTGGGATTTGGTTCCAACATCTGGTCAATGATGTCCACCAAATCGGCTGACGGTTTGAATTGACTGCTAAACCGATATTGTTTTGATTGCATTTCGGTCAGCGCTTGTGACCAGTGTTTATGTCGGGCTGAATAGTATGGAAACTGTTTAGTAAACAGATTGTAAAGTACGACTCCCAGTGCCCAGACGTCCACAAGTTTAGCATTATATCCGGGTTTTGTTTGTTTGTCTTCACCGTACAGTATTTGTTGTTGTTTTATGACTTTAATGTTCAATAGTTCGGGTGCCATATAGGATGCCGTTCCGCAAAACGTTTTCGACTCCAAATGTGCGCCCTGTCTGTAGACAACACGACTCAATCCGAAATCACTGATCAGTATATCATCGGAAACATCTAACAGTATGTTCTGGGGTTTGATGTCTCGGTGGGCGATATTACGCGAATGCATGTAAACCAATGCCGACAGCATTTGGCCAAACCATGTCCGACACAGGTCTTCATCAAACGGTCCCGACTGATGGTTACGTTCGTTGAGTGTACCGCCGACTGCGTACTGCATAACAATGTAAAAAGTGGTCAACCGGTCGGCAGTGTTGTCAACATTAAAATGGGTGACTAGTTTGACGACATACGGGTGCCGTAGTCTTTCCAATGCAAACAATTCGTATTTGATATCTTTGGTCAGCTTATGTCTATCGCCTTTACTTCTCATCCTATCGTCTAATACCAACACTTTACAGGCCAACTGTTCTCCACTGTTGATGTGTATCATTAGAAAGACAGTCCCATATTTACCGGAACCCAACTCCCTGTCCTGTCGATAGCCTTTCATAGCTATAACATCGTCAGCTGTTTTATACTGTTTAGTCGGTATTTCATAGAACTCTCCCATATCTCTGAGTTTCAGTTTGATTGGGTCCGACCCGAGTTGTCTCTGTTTATGATCTTTTGCTATTTTACTCAATACCTTAAGTGTTCGTCTTTTTTCTTGATATCTGTCCTTTTTGTTATACTTTTGCCGACAACAGCAACAATAACAACAGCACAAGTAGTAACACATGTTATTACCCATTGATTTATTTTTGGTGATAGAAAGCGGACGACTGTCTAAACCAAGAAAATCAATGATCAGTTGTTTATTGGCAATCAATTCAGTCAAATACAGTTATATATATATATCATAAAACAAAAAAACTAACGGTTTAATTACACTTTAATGTCAGACATATTTTTAAAAATTAATTTAAAATTGTTAACAATTACACTATTGTTAATTCACGTATTATTTTTAATTAACAATGAAATATATAACAAATTTAATTCAAATTGTTTTCATACAAATTATTCTTATCATTAAAATGTAAATTTATTTGTAAATATTAATAGTTTTTTTTTATAAATTTTTGCATTGCTTTGCTTTCTAGTTTTATGATTATACTTATTGTATATAATGCTATATATAAACTAGCAATATAATTTGTTATTTTTAATTTATTTAATAAATTATTATTTCAAAAATTATTTATCTATTTTTTAATTTTGTATAATTTTTTATAACATCTAAATTTAGATTAAATATATAGATTACATAATAAAATACAATAGTAGCAATGTTTTTTTACCTGTTAAGGTATATTTTTATTATATTATTATATAGATATCTAACTATTATCTATTATTATTAATAAATTTTTTCATTGTCATAATAAATAAAAATCATTTAATAAATAACAATAATTGCTTTTACTAAATTTTATTTTTAATATTTATTGTTTTTATACTTACAAAAAATAAATAAATACTTTAGTATTTTTGAATTTTTAAACTTTTAATACTTGATACTAAAAAAACTTAATTTTAGTTTGGCTATTCTTTCAACATAATTTTTTTTATCATTAATAAAATGCTTATCTTATAAAATTAAATTAAATATTTTTACAATATTTTGTTTTAAAATGTTTTATTGTTTAGAATATTTTTTAATTTTTTTCTAAAATAAATAATATAAAAAAAACATTATGATAACAAATTGAATATTGAAAATTGTTTTATTTTTCTAAACAAAAAAAAAATAATATTTAACAATTTATTATTATTTTTTTCATATTTATTGTTTTTGCAAAAATTTATTTTTTAATTATTGTTTAATAATAGGTTATTTATTATCACAAACATACTGAAGTACCCAATAATTTAACATTAAGACATATCTCTTTGGATCTGCAACAAGCATTGCCACATATTTTTTGTCTATAATCACAATCAGGATTATCGGCCAAAGTTGATGCAACTATATTAAGAAAATTAGTTTAAATTTAAAAAAATATTTATATAATTTAAAAAAAAACAAAATACTTTGAGTATTATGTTATTGTTTTTTTCTGCATTAAATATTTAAAATAATTTCATAAATATTTTTATTTATTTATTTTTTAATTATTTATATGCAGTTAATATAAATATCTATACTTACCCAACAATAGGCTAACTATCATAACCACCAAAATAATAACTGAACGCATTTTATAGAAGTTAAACAAAAAATATTAAATACACAAAAATATAAATAAAATACTAATTTTTTTTGGTTACAAATTATATATGTTTATATACTTTTTTATATAAGAATTTAATATTATTTAATACAAGTATTTATTTGATTTGATAAATATATATTTGAAAAAAATATTTAAAAAGTTTTATAGTCCTCATAAGTACAGTAATTTTTCTTATAATTTATTTGTGTTTTACTATTACTGTACTTATTTTAAATGATTAATACATTTTTTTAGAGTTCAATAGTGTAATTATTAAAATATTATAATATATATTTAATAATTTATTTTTATAAATATAAATTATTACAAACTATCATTTATTTGATGACAATTTGTAAAATTTATTATGTATACATTTGTATTAAGTTTAACAAACTATTAATATTTACTTAATTATATCTAAAATATCAAATGTTTTACTTATTAAAAAAATTCATTTATTGATCCTAAAGAAACTAAAATAAATATTTTAAATTATATTAAATAAATATATATAAATAAATTAGAAACTATTTAATTAAATATAGAATAAATTATTTAAGAAATTTTTAATATAGTATAAAAACAGTTTATTATATATTTAAATTTTTTATTAATAAGCATTAGAATATATATATATATATATTACTAGTAATAAATTTGTATATTATTTATTACTTAAATATTATAATACATTTTTTTCATTGTCAAATAACTTACATAATTAAATAAAAAAATTAAAATGTTTTATTAATTCTAAAATTTATGATTATTCAATAAATAACTATATTATTGTTTGAAAAACAAACTAATATTAAAATAAAATAAAGTTATTATTTTTTAAAAAAGATGTTTTACTTACCAAAACAGTTTGGTTTATTGAATATTATATATATATATAAAGATACTGAAATAAATATTTTACATGATTTTAAAAAAGAGAAACTATTTAATTATAATCAAAAATTAGACACTTTTATTATATTATAACAATTTATTATTTTTTTAAGTAATTAAGTTTTTTTTAAAAATATTTTGGCTGAATAATGTTTACAGTAAATTTTTATTGTACTTTTTAAAAAAAAATAATTATCAAGTGTTTAGCACATACAGTACAACAACAACAACAAAACAATTATTATAATACAACTAATTTATATATATATATATATATATAGTTATGCCGTCCCATCCTAATCAACGTCCTAATCCCAAACATACGGCAACACCGAGTAGTCCGACATTAATACACGCCTGTCCCGGCTCACAACAACTGGCACCACATTGTCGTTGTCCTTCAGGCACAGATAGCTGGTATACCCTGACAATCAATTGTTGCGGCTAAGTTGAAAAATTATTTTTTAAAAAATAAAAATTTGATTAATTTTAGATTTTATAGATTGAGATTTTTTTTTAAAAAAATTGTTTGMTGTAAACAAAAATATGTAATAGTCTTAGTTTATAAACTATCAAAACAATTAAGAAAAAAAACTTTTAATAAAAATTTAAAACATAATACATACCAAACATCAGACCAATAATGGCAACCAATATGATAACTGAACGCATTGTGTATTAATTAAGAAAAAATAATTTAAAAAATTTTTTTTTAATAATTTTTAATTATTTTTTTTATAATGTTTCCAAAAAAACTCATCGACTTTATATACTATTTTTTTTGAAAATAATAATTTCTATAAATCAAATTTTATTGCAAAATATCTTAAGTTTATATAACATATGTAACTAATTAATAAATTTCAGGTTTTAAATTAATTATTTAATTGAATTATGAGTTTAMCTTAATTTATAAATAAAACTATTATAGTATATTTACAATAGCATATTAATGATATATAAAAATAATAATWTATAAATTGWTTTWATRWAAATGTAATAACAAAAAAAATCTGTACAATTAATCAATAAAAAATATATTTTTCACTAATTTTCAGACTTAATTTAATTACTAAAATTTTTATTAATTGACAAAAACTGTCACTTAAATACAATTGAAAATTTAATTATTATTTTTGTATTAAGCATATGTTAAAATTTAAAAAATATATATAAATTAAACTAAACTAATGCTAGTTTGCTTCAAGTACATTTGTTTGCATTAATATAACTTTAAATAATATCATTTTAATGTATAAATATTCTAAATTAATTTAATTTTTTTCATATATTTAATTAAACAATTAAAGTAAAATTTATTATTTATTTTTATTAAATATTTATTTTTTATATAATTATTAATAATTAAYTTTTTWAATAGATTTATATYAATAGTATAACTAATACAAACATTGATACATACATGACATTTGCTTAGATATTTACTAATAAAAAATATTTTTACAATATAAAAATAAAAATAATTAAATAAATGCAAATTTTATTAATTAAAATATTATAAAACTATTTTTTTWAAAAAAAACATTATAACAGATAGAAAATTTAAAAAACAAAATTTWAAGWWAATATTTTTTTAACAAATTTAAATTTTAGAATCTAATTATTTTGTTGTATAATTTAAACATCATATTAATTGTCTCCAAAAAATTTGTTTGATTACTGTTTAATATAATTATCGGTGATTCATATATTAGTCGATTGGATTATCCCAAACCCAAACATATGGCTACACCGAGTAGACCAACAGAGGCACACAACTGTCCCGGTTCACAGCAGGCTTTACCACATATTTTTTCACCAGGGTTACATGTGGGTACCTGAGCMATTGTTGCAGCTAAATAAAAATTAATATTATTAGTAATTTTATAATTAATTAATTTTATAATTAAGTTTAAACAACAAATTTTTGTTATAAATTATTATAGTTTAAAATCTAAATAAATACCAAACAATAGGCCAAATATTACTACAAGAAAGATAACTGTGCGCATAGTTTAACAAATTTTAATTATCTAATTTATATTTATATTTAGTTTATATAWATATATTTATTTTAATAAAAAAACATTGAGYTTTTATACTTTTTATCAAATAGTATATTAATATGTTAWTAAAAATTATATATTGAATTTATAGTTTWAATTTTTTCATATGTTTTTAATTAATTATTATATCATTATTATAAATGWATTTAATTGTATTACGTTAATAAAAAAATTTAAAAAAAACAAATGTTTTAATATTGATGTGATAATAAYAGCAATTAATTTTATATTATTGAAACAAAAAAAATTGTTTTTAATTATTGTAAATTATTGTTAATTTTTAAAAAGTTAATCAATGTTATTTTTTATATGATATAACTAGATAWRCTATATAAAATCRTTTTAAGTCTACWATATTTTWTAATTAATTATGTCTACATAATAYRTTGAGCAATAAGTTAAATAAACAATTAATAATAATTAATTAAGRTAATTTTAAATTGAAAATATTTTTTTATATATATCTAAATTACTAAAATTAAAAGCCTAGATAATAAAGCAATTAATTCTAAACAAAAAACAATTACTTATAAATTTATAATAAAAATTAAAAAAATATTTAACTTATTTTT